GGAAGCGGGGGACCCGCGGCCAGCGCCCCCGCCTCCTGGTCGTAAGGGCGGGTCTGGCCTCCGCTGCGCGCCGGACGGCGTCGGGGTGAGGGGTGGCCGAGGTGTGGGTCCGACCCCCCTCTCCCCCGAGGCCTGCGCTTCCAAACCTCGTCCCCCGTGGCGGGAGTGGCCCAATGGCCTTGGGGCGGGCAGGGAGGACTGACCTGTTCCGAGCCCGCGGCTTCTGCGAGGTCGAGGGATGGGGCCTGTTGGCACACCCTCAGTGTCGGTTCTGTTTCTGTCCCGGGCGGGTTGCGGGGCGAGGCGTTCGCCCGCGCTACCTTCCGAGCTGGCCGCGGTTTTTTCGGCCCGGGGTTGCGCCTCTCCCCTCCCCCACCCGAAACTCAGCCGGCGATTCTGGTGCTTGGTGCCACCTGTGGGACCTCCCGGGCTCTGCGGGAGCTTTGCAGCAGCAGAGAGAGGAAAAACTGGGGGGCGCAGCGGTAGGAGCTCCCTCCCCACCCGCGTCAGTCACCCTCGGGGGCACCTCGGGGAGACGGGCACCTGCTCGCCACCTTTGCGGCCATGGCTATCGGGACGGTGACTGAGCAGTGCCCAGAGCCGCAGTAGCCCGCACGGGCACTGTCTCCTCCTTTCGGGTTCTGAACAGCATCCCCTGGATAGGCCCAGGGGCCAAAAGGAAGGGATGTTGCCACTCAGACACCTCTCTTGGGTTCTGGCTATGAAGAGGCAGAAATGCTGTGACCTGGACTCCTCGCGTTGGTCTGGGTGGTGCATCTGCTTCCTCGCAGGGGGGGGTGCCCCCGCCTCCGCCAGCCCTCCTCCCGGAGCTGCTGAGCAGAAAGCTTTTCACCGGCTCTGAAGGAGGTCCATCCGTTGTCCTTTCAGGCTCACACCCTCCCAGTGGGCAGCCAGTAGGAGCATGGTGTGTTTGGGGGGTCTCATAGGACCGAGTCTGTCCCCTGCTGATTCCTGAGGGTTTCTGATTTAACCCCTGATGCTGGAAGCCAAGGCTAGATAAGCACCGAAGGCTTGTGAGAAAGGCACTCTGTGGTGGCACAGGCTGGTGGCGGTAGTCATTCAGGCTTGCCCTGTACACAGACTGTGGACAGGGTGTGCTACTCCTCATGGTGCCATGGGAGGCTTGGTCATTGAAGGCCCGGAGGGGAGCCAGGGCCTGCAGGCATTAGATGTGGAAGTACCATTTTCCTCCGGGCCATCTGCCCTGGAACTGCCTCTGGGCTTCTCTGATACATTTCTTGCACTTTATTTCCTGATACTTACGTCCTCCTAGGCTGACTTTTCTCAGTGGTCTTCAAGTGCGTCCTCCGGAGTCCCTGCACTTGCCCCATCAGCCTGTAGTGCCGGCCCCAGTGTCCCATAGCCGGCTCCAACCCGATGTCCAGGTCTGTGCAGGGCCTACCCTGGGCTGGGCCTATGCCCTCCACTGTTCTGGGTCCTCCTTCCAATGTCACTGTGGAACAGCAGGGTGGCCCCTCCACCCTGCCGGTTTTTTGTTGTCTGCCTGACCCTCATGCCCATAACTCTGTCCCCAGCACCTGTTTTGGAGTTTGCCGTGCTGGTGCAAGAATGAGTGTTGGAGTATTAGCAGTGATTTCTGGCTGTGGTCATGGCGCCCGGAGCTGCAGACATCGGGGCGGGAGGCTGACAGTGACCTACCACAGTGGGTCCTGCGGGAAAGATCTCCAGAGTGGTGGATGGGTCAGTGCAACTCCCTCTTCTCCACCCAGCTCCACTGGGGATCCAGCAGCGTTGGCTCCTGTGGACTGGCTCCTCCACCCCCCTTCCCACTCCTTCTTTCTGCCTCCTCCCCCTTCCCCCCTTCCCCCTCCTCATCTTCCTCATCTTCCTCCTCCCTCTGGCCTCATTTTATTCATCAGGCAAACTTCCCTGAAATCTGACCGGATGCCAGAAAGTGCTGTGCAGGCACCTGGCAGGAGGTCTGTGGTGACAGCCACCAAGGGGTGGGAGGAGAAGACTGAACCACATGGAGGCAGGGTCTGAAACCTTTTTCCATTTGTGTTCTGTGCTGAATGTTTCCTCACGTCAATTTCAAATGTGCTGTGAGCTCTGCTGTTGCATAGTTATTTCTAATTCCTTTGGCATCTTAGATGGTAGGCAAGGGGCAACCTGGCCCTAAGTCTCTATACGTGTTTGGGCTTATCTCTTATAATAACATCACTTTTGGGGTCTGTATTGTCAGTGAGACCCCTGCTTTGGTTTTCGTGGCCTGCCTGTGGTGTGCCTGCTGCTGTCCTTGAAACCCAGGCAAGCTGCGGCTCTGTGGTGGGCGGTGGGCGGTGGGCGGGTCTGAGCTATACCCCACCATACTGTACATGAGAATAGAGTGGCCAGGGACTGAGGAACCGGTGAGAGGTGCCCTCCAGCCCTGCACGCCGCCACCCCCCCAACAGCCCTGACACCTGAACCAGAGGAACTGGAGAAGACCTCAGGTGGAAGGTACCTTAGGCAGGGATGGCATGAGAATAGGCATTCTCTGGTCCTCCCCAGCCCTGGTGAACCAGAACCTGGGGGGTCTGGACACTAGGGGTCACCAGCAAATAGGGCCAGGGAATGCAGGGAGAGTCTAGAAGTTACCTGCCTCAACTGCTCCTCCCTGCTGTGGCCTGCCCGGCAGCTAAAAGACCTGGTCACTAAAGGGCATGCTGGAGACTACCCTGAGTTTCCCGGCCTATGGCAGACACGGGATTCAAGAGTGGGGCCTGTGGTTCCCTTAGTAGTCACATACCTGGGCACATGCCTCCAAGTCAGCCTCATCCTGGCCAGTGGGGGCACGTGCTGGGCCAACCAACCTGAGTCCACTCTGCAGCTCAGACAGCCACACCCATGAAATGATCCCCAGGAGCCCAGCTCTGCATCCGTGCCCAGGAAGCGTCAGCCACCCTGACCGTGGGCTGGCCTCTGCCCCGCTTTCTGGGCTTGGGTGCAGCTAGCCACAGTCAGGAGGATGGACATGAACGAGCTAGTCCTGCCTCCAAAGTAGCTCCTAGGTGGGCCCACTTTTCAGGTGCGTGAACTCCTGAGCCCCTGACAGCCCCTGTCTTGATTTTGGAAGCTTTTGCAGACAGACAGCTGTGGCCTGAGGGAGCTGGCACCCACTCTTGATCCAGCCATCCCCAGAGGGGGTGGGGGTGGGGCCTTCTTGGTGCAGGTCCCTTTACCAACTTCAAGAGACTTGAGCTGTTGCACCGTTGCTGAGGGTGGAGCTGAGTCCCAGCTTCCTCTGTTTCTGTTGGGGGGAGGTGGCCCAACCCCTGTTGACTGCTGAGCCCTGGGTGGCCGTAGGGATGCAGGCCTCCAGGGGTGGGGGGAGGCTGGGCAGTTATTTGTGGATGGTGCCGGGAGGTAGGGTTTCAAATTTGTTTATGCCTGTAGGAGGCACCTTGGGGCCCGGGTAGGGTGCCCAGCTCAGCACTGACATTCAGGTCACCTGGCCAAGAGACGTCTCAGATGTCCCTATCCTGCTGTGGGGACATTGGCAGTGCAGCCCTAGACAGGCCAGGGGACTGGAGCTTTCTCCAGGGAGCTCTGGAAAGGGCATCGGGGCTCTGTGCTCCTCCACAGGTCCTGGCTGACTGAGTGTGCCAGCCTGTGCACAGGAGGGGCAGTTCACACCAGGGCTGGCCTGAGGATTGTCCGGGCCACGCCAGGCAAAGTCAGTGCTATTAATATCAGGCATGCACGAGCCCCCAGCTGGGTGATCCTCTTATGCCTGTGGCCTTGGCCTCTAGGACAGCGGAGACTGTGTTTCCTCCATGCAGTGGGGGCTCCAGGGGCCTCCCAGCTGTTGTGCCACTCGGCCATTAGGCAGGCAGCTTCTACCAGCTGGGGCTTTTCCCCTCTGGCCCTTCTGCTGTGCCATCCACAGCAGTACCCCCCATGGGGAAGCGGTTCAGGCAGTCTGAGCTCCTGAGCTAGTCTGGGGTACTGCTGTGGGTCTAAGAGGCGGTGATGCCCCCCATGACTGCCAGTGTCTGAGCCCCACACAATACCCCTGGGGTCACCCCACTGTCCAGGAGCACCGGCCCATGTCCTTGGTCATGAGCAGTCCCTTGGCTTACCCTGGCATCAGGATCTCAGGGTGCTGGGCCCTGGGAGCAGAAGGCAGGTGAGTTGCAATTGGAGCCCCTGCATCCCCTGTCGCTGCTGGGATTGTGGCCTCTCTGAACCTTTGTACTGTTTGTATCTGTGACCATCAAGAAACAGATGAGCTGGCGGGTGCTCTCGGGAGCAGGCAGGGCTAGGTGGCTTGGGGCTGTGGGTCACTGTTGTGTTTGTGTTGGTTGTGGCTTGTAACAGTTTAGGTTGGAATTGGTGTAGCCAGAAGCAGCAGACGAAGTGAGGTCTTTAATGAGACCTTCCCCTCCTGAGGGGCACTTTTTGTGAAAAATGAGGGAGCTCTGACTCAGGCAGACCCAGCCTGATGCCCTCCGTGCCCCTCACAAGCCTGGGGTGAGGTGGATTTCTGGCGCCATTGTCCCAGCCTGCTGTACTGCTCCTCTGCATAGCCTAGACCCAAAAAGGCTCAGCACCTGTTGGCAGCGTGAGTCTCGCAAGGGATTGTGGCGGTGGGGGGGGTTTCATTTGGATGTGGAAGGGTCGCAAGTGGGGAACGGAAGGCTCCTGGCAGGCCTGACAACCAGGAGATGGTGAGGATGCATGGGAGCTGGCATGTCCCAGCCCCAGGCCTCCGCCATCCCACTTGTGTCCCTCGAATCAGTCCAGACCGACTGAGCAGAGAGACTCGGTTCAGGAGGCCTTACCCTCTGCGAGTCAGATCTTCTGTGTTGGAGTTTCCTCCTGAGTATGAAGACAGTGGTCAATTCCCCACAGACATGGAGTTCAGAGGGGAGGGCCTGCCCTGGACTTGTCTGCCCAGTGGTAACCATTGTGGGCCAAGGCAGCTCCCAGCCCAGGGCCTGCAGGGGGCCAGGCCATGCCCCTCCCCTCCCCCAGACCATCAGTTGTTGCCTGCGGGGAGCTGCATCTCTGTGGGTGGGCATAGGCCCATCTGGTAATGGTAATGCCCAGGTGTTACTATTACTGTTAGTATGGTTATGCCTAGGCGAGCAGCTAGTGGCCCTCCATCCAGGGATGGAGGCCGCAGTTGCTTTTGTTTGCTGAGTCCCATCTCCTTGACTGAGAGCCATTCCAGCTGAGGCCTGAGGGACACACAGGTCCCACCCCAGCCCATGTCCCCACACGCTGTCTGGTGGCAGCATTATGGTCCCCTGCTCCCATCATGGTGCCCCACACATCACATTTGCTCAGCTGCTGCTGACGTTGCCCTGCTCCACAGCCCAGCAGTGATGCTGAGTGGGCACCTGCCTCCTTACCCCCAGGCTCCTCCCCTGCCCTCTCAGGTGGTGCAGAAACAGGCAAACATGGCATATTTGTCTTCCAGGAGAGGTGTTGCCTGTTTTCCTTGTCAGATGCAGAGGCTATTTTCTTGCTGTTTAGGCACCTGCCTAGCTGTTCTCTGGGCCCTGGAGAGCAGCTGATGGAACCTGTCATGTGTTAGGTCTGGCTGGCTCCTTTCCTGGCCCCCCTTGTGTGCACAGACATGTCCTGGCTGGGGGGCGGTGCTGGTCCTCAGCTGTTCCAGAGAAGGAAGATGCTGGTCATGTTCCCATCCTTGGCCGTGCACAGCCTTCACTGTGGCCAGGCCCTGGTGTGTCAGGTGGTAGCAGTGACAGCAGGACTGTGTGCTTCTGAGACACACAGGCTTGGCCTTTGATAGCCAAGGGGGCACGTGCCTATAAACGTGTCAGCGTGGCAGAAGTCAAGGCACAACTTTTTTTTTTTTTTTTGAGTTGGAGTCTCACTTGGTCGCCCAGACTAGAGTGCAGTGGCCACTCCTGGCCACCGCAGCCTCGCCTGCTGGGCTCCAGCAATCCTTCTGCCTCAGCCTTCCAAGTAGCCAGAATTACAGGCATGCGCTACCACGCCTGGCTGATTTTTTGATTTATTGTAGAGATGAGGTCTTGCTGCCCAGGCAGGTCTCGAACCCGCGGGCTCACGCAATCCACTCACCTCAGCCTCCCAAAGGCACGGGATTACAGGCTAAGCCACCGAGCCCGGCTTAAGGCACATCTTGATGGCCAAGGTGGCCCTGGTCACAGCGGGCCCAGCAGGCATCTCCTTCTCATGCCCTTCTCCAGGTGCATGCAGGTGAGCTGCTCCACAGGTTTCTACTTAGATGAAGACACAGCTCACGTCGATGTCCATACTGGCCATGCCCTGAAGGTGCCTGCCCTGCTGTACCTGTAGCTCTACCTCGTTCTGTCAGGCAGGCACCTGCTCTTCTGCACAATGCCCAACCCTTGCAGGTTCTGAGTGTGGAAGATGCACACTGCTGCTGCAGGAAGCGTGGGCAGAAGTCCGCCCTCCGTCCTGCTATGCCTGGAGACTTCTTACCCAGGGACCCTGCCTTACCAGAGGTCTGAGCTGTTCTGTGGGTGGCCCATGACCTCAGTGTCAAACCCCCTTCAAGGCCTCCTGGCATTCTTGAAACCTGATGCTGAGACAGTCGTGACCAGCTTGGTCTCTCCTGGGCAGAGGCCAGAAGCACCTCCTGCCCATTCGAAGTCCTGTCCCTACTGCATGTACACACTAGGCTCTGCACCTGAGCCTCAGAACTGGTGTTGGGTCCATGCAGCCTCCCTGCAGGCTACCAGCCCTATCCAGCCTCCCCAGAAGCTGTCTCCTCCCGGGGCTCCATGGCTGGTAACAGCTCCCTGCCTCCGTGGGGGGTATAAACCAGCTGAGAGATTAGCAGGGATCTGGATGTGAGCTCAGCACACGTGACATGTGTGGATGCACACGAGCATGGATACATGGGATGTGTGTGGATGCACACAGGCACAGATCTGTGCCTTCCTCAGGCTGATTTCCACCTGCCAGCCTCCGGGTGGGCCCAAGGGTCAGCTGTCCCATCAGTCTGGACGGGGTGGCACCTGCCTCCTTAGTGATTGTGGGATGCTGGTGGTTTCTACCTTGGGGACCAGGAGGGGCCACAGAAAGGATGAGTCGGGCTCCCATGCGTCCCCCAGCCCAGAGTTTGCCCTGCACTCTGACAGCCAGAGAGGCTGGTCATGGCGCCACCTGCCCAGAGCTCTTCTGAGCCTGTGCATCAGGTCCAGCCTGAGGCTACTGGCCTCCCTCCCCCAAGCCCCTCCGCCTGGTCATATGTGGGGGCCTTCCCCATGGTTGTAGGCACAGTGGTCTGGCCTTGCCTCTGCCACCCACTGCCTTCCCATCTCCTAGGCTCCTGCCTTTCAGTGTGGCAGTGGCTTGGCTGCCCAGAGGGTGTCCCGGGTTGGGCAGGGGGCCACAGTTCACTTTGGCGTCTTGCTTGTCTTGCACACCCATGTCAAGTCCCTTTGGGGACAGGGTCCAGCCCACCCTGTCCACACAGAGGGAGGAGCATGGCCCTGAGACAGTGCATCTCCTGTCCCCTTGTCACAGTTTGCTATCCCTTTGTCCTTGCTATGTGGACAGTGGCCCTGTCCAGTGGCCATGGCCCCAGGCTCTGTGGACTGGCTGCAGGCAGCTTCCCTGTGCACCCCAACCTGAGCTGCTGGTGTGGGCGTGGGCGGGCACCAGGGGCTGGTGGCCCTGAGCCCAGGCAAGCATGTCCCTCTCAGTAGCAGCAATGCAGAATCCTTGGACAGACTCCTCCCGGCCGTGGGCACGGGGCACACCCCCCGGAAGCGCACCACCAGCCAGTGCAAGTCCGAGCCACCCCTGCTGCGCACCAGCAAACGCACCATCTACACGGCAGGGCGGCCGCCCTGGTACAACGAGCACGGCACACAGTCCAAGGAGGCCTTTGCCATTGGTGAGTACAGAAGGGCTCTGACTCCCCGTGGAGGTCCTGTACCTCAGGCTGTGTGACTTTGGTGATACCCCCAGGACACACCTGTGTGGCCAGCCCACCAACTCCTGATTATGGGGTTTCCTTTACTCCCGCAGGCCTGGGAGGTGGCAGTGCCTCTGGAAAGACCACTGTGGCCAGAATGATCATCGAGGCTCTGGATGTGCCCTGGGTGGTCTTGCTGTCCATGGACTCCTTCTACAAGGTGAGGCCCCACTCGGGCCCCCAGCACTCTTGTCCCCTCCCCAACCCCGGGCCCCTGCAGTTGCCAGCTCCTGGTCTCTGGCCCTGCAGGCTACCCTGAAGGGCCCACCTGTGCCCCACAGGTGCTGACCCCGCAGCAGCAGGAGCAGGCCACTCACAACAACTTCAACTTCGACCACCCAGATGCCTTTGACTTTGACCTCATCATCTCTACCCTCAAGAAGCTGAAGCAGGGGAAGAGCGTCAAGGTCCCCATCTACGACTTCACCACCCACAGCCGGAAGAAGGACTGGGTAGGCGCAGGCACTAGCTCAGGCCCAGAGAGGGCAGTGACATAACAGCTGGGTGCTGCAACTCCTGGGTTCCTTTGCAGAAAACGCTGTATGGCGCAAACGTCATTATCTTTGAGGGCATCATGGCCTTTGCTGACAAGACACTGCTGCAGGTGAGGGATGCTGGGAACCCTGCTGCACAGCCCGCTCTCCCCAGTGCTCACCCTAAGCACTGTCCTCCAGGAAGGCCCCTCCACCCCCAGTGTTCACCCGCCCCTCCTAAGGCCTCCATGCCCTGAACTACCTGCACTGGCCACGCCCCATCCCCACCCTGACCTCAGTCTGGGCCACTGGCTGGCCATGAGGCATGGAGCATGACTGCCTGGGGCCGTAGTCCTCAATCCCACCTGCTGAGGTGTTGCTCACACCTGCCACACTTGCCATTCTTGCTCCTTGGTGTAGTCCTGGGAGGATCCAAGGCCAGTTGAGTTTCAGGGACTTTACTGTAGGTCATGTGGGCCTCCAGGGCCTGGGTCCTGCCCCGGCATAGGCCCAGAGGACTCCACTGTCCAGCATGGAGTAGCAGCCTCGGATCCCCATGAGGCCCCCTTAGGTACCCTGCTGTGTGTCGAGTGTGGGGTCACACCCTGAACTTGCCAAGCCCCAAGGGCCCCAGCGTGTGCGTGACCTTCATTGAGCAGAGTACAGTGTTGCCCTGGCCACCTACTCCGGCCTAGGCCACCTCCACCTGCACCCCTTCCCTAAAGCCCCTGACAGCAGCACCCCATCCTCTCCATACCCCTCCATACACACTCCCCACCCACGCACACATATGCCCCTGACTGGCAGGGGGCCCCAGACCTGACCCACAGAACAGGTGCAGGAGCCAGCCCAATGTCTCCATGCTGGCTCTGCTGGTGATGGCTGCTCACTGCCTCGCTCTTCCCCTCAGCTCCTGGACATGAAAATCTTCGTGGACACTGATTCTGACATCCGCCTGGTGCGGCGGCTGCGCAGGGACATCAGTGAGCGAGGCCGGGACATTGAGGGTGTCATCAAGCAGTACAACAAGTTCGTCAAGCCTTCCTTTGACCAGTATATCCAGCCCACCATGCGCTTAGCGGACATCGTGGTGCCCAGAGGTGAGGCTGCTGCGCTGCCTGCAGGCTTGGAGGAACAGCTGGGCAGCCGGCCTCCGGTCACCTTCCTCCCGTTCCACCCCAGGGAGCGGCAACACAGTGGCCATTGACCTGATAGTGCAGCACGTTCACAGCCAGCTGGAGGAGGTGAGCCAGCAGGCAGGGTCCCTGTCCCCACAGCCAGCTCTACTGCATTCCCGCTTCCCTTCTACCGCCATCTCCCCAGCAGCCTGCTCCCTCCCTCACACACCTTCACCATCCTCTGCTGGGTGCCAGCCTTGCTGTCTGGAGCCTGCTCAGTCAGCCAGATCTTCCAACCCAGCCCTTTGAGTCCCTGAGAAAGTAGGGATGGGGACACGGGAGCTCAGGCCCAGCCCACAGAGCACCCAGCCAGAGCTTGGCCTTGCACAGAATGGTATTCTCCTTGCCGGGATTTTGGGAGTGACAAGAGTGACCCACTATCCCGCTGGCCCACTACTGCGGGGTCTCAGTGCCGAGTCCCACACTGGGCCAGTGGTTCCTCTTTCTCGGTGGGTCATCTCTGGAGTGCTGCACCCACCAGGGGACCCTGTACTCCCTGGGGCATTCTGTGGCTGGGCCCCAGAGCCTAGACAGCTCTGGGTGCACTCCTTAGCAGGCTGCTGGAGGCCCGAGGTCTGTGGAACAGAGCACAGGGGTTCTGGCTCTGGCCACCCCAGCCCAGAACTGTGGGTCCTGACCGAGGTGGCCCCTAGGCTAAAGGGTATTAGAAGCCCACCACCTCCATGGCTGGATGTGTCCCTGCGGAGCTGCAGCATGTCCATTCCTGGGTGGGAATGGCCTAGCCACCTGCCCTGGTCACTGATGCATCACCGTTCCCTTGTGTTTCCCCGTGTTGCTGCCACAGCGTGAACTCAGCGTCAGGTAAGACTTGCACAGCTGACCGTGCAGATGGAGGCATTTTCAACACCCACGCAGAGCTCCAGGTCTGGGCTGTGGTCCAGTAGACTGGCGGGCAGCCCTTCCCTAGACACAGAAAGGGTGTGGGGGGGCCCCAGCCCTGCTTCTGCCCCCTCTTGCCAGCAGCCAAGACAGTAGCTCACTCAGGTCACACAATGCCTGACCCCAGCCTGACCAGACCTGGCTGGAAGCTTCCCCAACCTGGGACTGTGTGAGCTTTGACCTCAGCACAGCTGTCCCCCTGAGCCTACACTGCCAGTCCCAAGACCAGTGACCACAGACATGTCCTAGCAGGGCCTGCAGGGCCTGTTGTACTTCCTCTGCCCAATCTCACAGGACCAGTCAACTTTCCCTAGAGGGTGGTGAGGCCCCAGCACTGTTCCTTCCTGTCCATCTTAGTCCTGCTCTGTCCAGCTTTGTCCCCAAGCCCAGTACAACTCAGGCCAGAAGATCAGGGTTTGTGCTGTGGGTAGGGAGCTCCAGGTGGGCTGGGGCTGCATCCCAGCTGCATCCACAGCTCAGAGTGTGGTCAGCTCCCAGGGACCTGCCCTTTTCTGGCTGTCTGACCAAACCTCTGGGTGGGAGAGTCTCATGTCTGCAGTGAGTGCCCCAAGAGTTTGCTGTGCGTTGGAAATGCCTCCGGGCCCCATCCCCCAGCTGTCCTTGCTGCCTGCCCTGCATGAGTCTCTGCTTGGCCCTCACTAAGACAGCGAACCTGTGGGTCTTGTCACGTCATGTTCCTCTTGAAGCCTTTGTTCCGAGAAAAAAAAAGGTTTCCAGGGTTTCAAACTTGAGAAGACGCCTGATCACGGCCAGCCACATTTTCCATTCTCTGGTCAGCCAAGGAAGTGGTGGCTAACGGCCCCTCACCTCCTCCAGCCCCAGGAAGTGCAGCTGATGGGCAGGAGGGGGCGGCGGCTAGGGTTTTGAGGTGCAAAGACTCAGTTCCCACGGACCACGTGGGCCTCTGCAGGGACCACCTTCCCCGGCTGAGTGGTCTTCTCTCTGTTCTCTTCTTGTTCTCTGTA